AAATATGTAAATCTAGCAGTCAGAAGAGTCTGAAGCTTAACAATAACCAGAATATACCAGAATGACCTCAAGGACAGAGCAAGTGTTAGAAAAAAAAAATTATCAACTTCTCAATAATGACAACCAGTTATTGTTTTGCTACATACAGCTCATAGAAACTTCCTAGATGACAAAAGGAGCAAATACAGAAACTATAATCTTCCCAATTTCATCACAGACATCTGACTATATGGGGCTAACTACCTGACACACATTTCAAACAGTGCTGGTACTAAAAAACACAAAACAAAGAAAAGCCATTAGATTTTTAAACATAACCAATACAGGCAAATCCCAAGGTGCTGAAGTTCTAAATTTGGCCTTGGGGTGAGATCTGTGCTCTGCTTCAGCAGGATTCATAATCCTATTCAAACTACTACTACTAGGACATCTCCCACTTGCTTTTACAATTAAAGGCTTAATTGGGTTTTGTTGTTGTTTTACTTTGTTAACACCAAGAATTCAAGGAATATTTTTAATAATGCATGTCTTACAAAGATGTGGTTCCCAAGGAACTGACAGCTTTTATAAAATAAATCTGAAAAAGTCTGCCACTAATGTCAAAGACCAATGTGAGTTCTTGCTTACTGCAGCTAAGAAATCAGAAATTGAGAATAGTGAGTATGGTGGTTTGAATGAGAATGACAACCACGGTTTCATGTATTTGAATGCTTAGTCACCAGGAAATGAAACTGTTTGAAGAGATTATAAGGATTAGGAGGTATAGCCTTATTGGAGGAAGTGTGTCACTGCAGGTGGGTTCTGAGGTTTCAAAAGCCCATGCCAGGCCAAGTTTCTCTGTCTCTGCCTATGGATTAGGCTATAACTCTCAGCTATGCTCCAGTGCTATGAATGCCACCATGCCCCCACTATGAGGATAATAAACTGACTAACCCTCTGAAACTGTAAGCAAGCCCCTAGTTAATTGCCTTCTTTTACAAGAGTTGCCTGGGTCATGTGTCTCTTCATAATAGAACAGCAACTAAAATAGTGAGTGACATTCCTAAATGGCTACATTGCTATGTAGGGTGTACTGGGGTACAGGGCAGTGGGGAAAGAAGAGAAAATAGTCATCAATGGTATTATCCAGTAGTAAACAGTACAATACTGACTTGCCAAGCAACATGTGTGTACTGGTGTAATATTAGCATGACTATTATGGAAGTAATAAAGCACTTTCCATTTGAGGCTTGGTCTACAGGAGAGAATTCATGACTGGTACTGTAAACCCAACCAAAATCCACAGCTTAGGAGGCTGTAAGCCCTAAGAAGGGAATCTACTACTAGTGTGTTGCTGCACTATCATGTTGTCAAAGTGCCTTCAAACATCCATAGTTATACTCATAACATTAGTCCTGCTGTCAGTCTTGGTCAGACAAACTTCTTCCTACAGTGGACAGTAGTTAATGTAGTGACTCATAATTAGTCAAAATGCTGAGAATAACAACTGTTCAGTTGTTAGCCATAAATGGGAGAGCTGTATCAATACCCCCAAGGCTCAGAGGAAAGAATGTAAGAGCCAAAGGAAGGGGAAGAATGCTGTGAAATGCTGTCTTTTGGACATGACATGGTTGTACCCATGAGCTCATTGCAGCTATGGTTAAGCCAACAGATCAGTCAATATTCCAGCAGATAGCGTAAACTAGACTCAATGAATTACAAAAACTATAAACAGGGGATAGTGAGATGGCTCAGTGGGTAAAGGTACTTTCTGCTAAGCCTGATGACCTGAGCCTGATTCCCAGAACCTATCTGGTAGAAGCAGAGAACAAATTCCTGTAAGTTGTACTCTGACATCCATAGGTACACTGTGGTATACACACCCATACATATACAAGCACATGCACAAACACAAGTAAATTAAAAACCCAAACCAAAAAACTACATAAGAAGATATAAAGGTAGGAAAGGTGCATGGATATCCAGAAGGATAAGGGGATGTTGGGAGTGGGAGATAGTAAGATACAGTGTATACATGTATGAAATTGGCAAAGAATAAATGAAATATTAAAAAATAAAAAGAAAGTCAGTGATTAGAGACAGGTGTTTTTCTTTTACTTCTCCCCAAATATTTTCTACTCAATGACCTCCAAAGCTATTGTCTCAAAAACACTAAAGAAGGTAAGTTAGAGACTCTCTTAAAGTTGCGCACTGTGAGCCTTCTTAGTCTACTCATGGACTCAGCCTCACCCTAATATGATGTGATTTCATCACTAGCCAAGGAACAAGCTTTCTATGTCATTCCTGAAGTTTTCTAGGGATATCCCAATTCCAAACATTATTCAATATTTGGCACAAGTACCCTCAGCATAAAAATTCACTTTCATATGAGAAACAGTTGTATTCTATTAGCTTAGTCTTCATTTTATTTTTGTATAGGAGTTAGTGGAGGCCTTATTGCTCAAATCCCTCACAATCACCCAATTCCCTAAAGCTCTGCATATCGAGCTGGACTTTTCTTTGCTCATTCCCAGGATCTTCTTTAACAGTCTGAACCCTACAAGATCTGTTTGCCATCAGCACCAGGGACATTCACTGGGCTAATGCTAGACTACTGCTCACTGCACATACGTAGCCTGCAAGTTTCTCTACGATCTAACTTTCATCATACACATTCAGTACCTAACATGCCAAAATCAATGATCTTCATTTCCCAATTCATCAATTCTATAACATTCATTTGGACAGTAATGTTTTATCAAGAGAAAAAAAAGCCTATAGAAGACTAGCAAGAAGTTGTTTGCTAAACAAAACAGAACAAAAACAAGGTGGGAGGGGAGGTGTGCAGATATATGACAACACATTAAATCATTAAGAATGGGAGTCAAATGAAATTTTACCATGTTAAGTTAAAACCAAACCATCAAGCTCAAGTTATAGAGTATGATCACATTGCAGACTGAACATTTTTAAAAAAGGCATATTCATGCATGCATGCATAAAAAGGAGCAAAAAGTTATAATTTAAAATGTTAGTATACTTATAGTAAGAATATGAGTTATATTACTTTTATCTGTAATGCCTGTATTTTAATATTTTACACAAAAATATGCACTGCCTCCACCATTTTACTATTTTTTTTTAAAGCCCCAGCATTCAGAGGCAGATGGGTCTCTGTGAGTTTGAGGCCAGTGTGCTCTACATAGCAAACTTTGGGCATTCAAAATTCTGTCTCTCAAAATTAAAAATCAGAAATAAACCAATTAGTATATATTCACATAAATCACAAAGACTATTACACTTAAAAATGATAAATCTTCAATATGAATTAATGAAAAATGAACAAAATGATATGCCAGTCTGGCTGACACATATTTTGACAGCTTAGATAAATATCAGCAAATTATGACTGGAAGTACAGGAAGGGAGCTTTCCCTTATATTGGATAAAAAACGATAGCTAGCTCTCCTACCCCTAATAATAACAGCAGGTGGGCACACTGCCACTAGAAACATGGAGTATGCTTCTGGAACAGACTGGCCAACAAACTTATTACATTTTCATTTCTAATTTTCAGAAACAAAAGTACTAGGAAAGGAAATATGAATGAGGTAGGTAAAATGAGGGAGGATACAGTGAGAAAATATAAGAAATAGGTAATAAAAAAGGATACCAAGGAGAAGTGGACATTGATTTAGATATGGAACAAAGCAGAAAAAAAGGAAGTACACATGGAAGAAGATGTCCTCTGTACAAAATTAACCCCCTTTATTTATTTTCAGTAGTTAGCTGCACATCACGGCAATGTCAAGTAGCAGGAACAGGAGGTTACTGAAGGAAGCTGAGGGAGAAGACAAAAGGCAGCAACAGACACTACACCCAGCTGCAAGGTGTTACTCTTGATCTTAGTGTCTGGCTTATGATCAGGTGATGAAGACCTGTTAAATACATCTACATACCCAGTAAAAGGTTTTATATAATGAAGTCTTGATAAGTGCTACCATGTCATGGACTACAGGAAAAAAGTTACTTCCTGCTCACAAACAAACCACTAAGTAGTTTGTATGCCTGCAATGCAGACAATGATTCTCAGCCCAAATAGAGGCCTTTCATTTTCAGCCAGGCAGGGTGGAACTCTCTTTTAATCCCAGTACTCAGGAGGAAGAGGCGGATGGATCTCTATGAGTTCAAGGCCAGCCTGGCCTACAGAGTGAGTTCCAGAATGGCCAAAACTAAACAGAGAAACCTTGTCTCAAAAAAAAAAAAAGAAAAAAAAAAAAAAAAGCTTTTTCATAAAAATGGGTAACAATCAGGAAAAACAAATTTTTATTGGGAAAGTAGTGATCTATTAGATCTATTAGTCTCTAGGATACTGCCACAGAAGGGGACCTCAGTGCCAACTCCTAAGGATTCAGAGGTCTTAATGTCTCAGGATGCTGACCAGGATCATTAATTCAGAAGCCTTTCTGCCTTAGAAAGCACATACTAGTTTCCACTCTGCTGGCAATTCAAACCCATGCACAGCTCATGCTTCCTTGGGAATACCTCTTGTATACACTCTGGCAGGGGCAGGACTACAGGGGCATTCTGTTGCCTTCAATGCTGAACTTGACAGCACGGTGCATTTTGCTGAGCCTCTTCTGTTCTGCAAACCGCCTCTTATGCTTTTCCAACCGACTTAGGCCCTTTTTAAGAATACCAGGCTAGAAAGAGTGGTTCGATGGGAGAGAAAGATTATCAAGAAAAGGCATTTGGGTAATGTCTTCACTGATGACAGGGCAAGTCTCCATCCTGACAATTTCACAACAGAAATGCTTAAGCAGATGGACAGAAAGGGAGAGGAGGCTCTGAGAAAGCAGGCAAGTTCTATTTCTCATGATTCTTTAAGTGAATGAATGAATACCTAAGAGATACTAAAACAGATCTTGTGAATCAAATAAACCTTAACTGCTATAAACATTATTAAACATAAAGAAAAGGGAAAATATTCAAATGGCCTTGCTCTTCCTCTGCTCACTCACCCTGGATGATTCCATTTCTACATTCCACTTGGGTCTGACGACATAGTCCTTGTTTGATGGCATTGGGACTCTAGCACGGGCACAGAAGCCAGGATCTCCAGGTCTAAGAGCCCTGAGGAAAGGGGGGGAGGGTGGTAAGGGAGGAAAACAGAGCATAAGTGAGTTTTACCCTTGTAAACCTAGGTCTGTCACATTCAGCTACCCCATCATCCCATCATCAGACATACTGCTATAGAGTGTGAACTACTACTCCCTCAATACCAATTTACACTTTATATAAATTCTTGCTTCTCCTTGGCTTCAGATGTAATCATGCCCTGTCCTTTCTCAAGAAAACTGCTTTTAAATTCATGTTTATGAGATTTGACTTCATGGGTGCCACTAGAAAAGGGAGTCAGGTCCCTTGGAACTGGAGTTACAAACAGTGTGAGCCACAATGTGAGAGCAGGCAACCAAACATAGGTCCTCTGCAATAACAGCAAGTGCTCTTGAGCCATTTCTCCAAGAGTACTGTGAATCCTAAGTTCTCTAACTAGTCTTGAGAGTCACTAAGAGAGGAGGAAAAATTAGGTTGCCAAAATGATCCCCCATTCTTGGAGAAAACCTGTGCGGTCACTACAAATTCCCTTGCAGTTATAAGAAGTAATAAAGAGAGACCTCAGTGTCTCTCTCAGTGGTTAATGACTTTCCAAACTATAGCATTATCACAGTGATAACACTGATACAATCTATCTTATCTTCATTACATTTCTCATTTTTACTTGTACTTATTTGTGCTTATATTTAGTTCTATGCAACTTTAAAAATAACCATGCTCCACTAAGATCATAATTCTGACTAAGTAAAGCTCTCCTGTCAGTGCCTGGGCATTTAAGTTATTCTGGGCATTTAAGTTAGCCAGTCTTTAGAAACCCCCCCCCCCCCAAGATGGGGTGGGAGCAAAACACACCTGCTAGGAGTAGGAGAGCAAACATCTATATTCTCACCCACAGGCTCTATCCCAGCATGTATGAACACATCTCTACTGGCTCCTCGGCTACACTCCCTGCCAAACTGGCTAGTTCATTTCTTATGATTTACTCTAAATTGAACATTTCCCCCCACCTATGAAGATAACCATCAAATCTTTATCTAGCCTGGCTAGACCCTATGGTGTTTCTAAGAGTATCTCATTAAATATCTCACACTGAATAGCTTGAAAAATAACTTACTACTAATTTCTTCAAATCTACTTACTCATCCTTAGTTTTAGTGGATGGTAGTATCACTGTCTCCATACTCTGGTTTAAATATTTGGTTAGAATCATCAATTGTAAGTTAACTTCTCCCTAAATATGTCATCAATTCTAAGCAACTATCTCCACAATGTCTTCTCAGCCTTCTGTTACTCTGTAACTTAACTGTATCACTGCCTTCAGCCCCACTGCTCTAGCCTGCTCAAATGAGGCCCTCAGAACCAGCATTTCTAATTAAACATAACAGTTTCTAATACAGGCTCAAAACCTTCTCCTGAATCAAAGAGAAGCAAAAATTCCACATCTTGGTCTGAGGCTCTGGTCCACACCTATCATCTCACACTGTCACTGCTCCAGCATACTTACTGTCTTGACACCAGGACTGCACACACGAACCCACACATCTTGGTCTACCTTCCTACATGAAACTATACTTGACAACATGGGAGAATTTTAAGTTTCTTTTGTATTCTTTAAGCTTTAAACTTAAAAAGGATTCTAGCACTTAGAAAGCAGCAACAAAATACTTGTTAAATGAATCGTTTTCTTAATTCTTCAGAGCACCCAATACACTGTTTTGCAGTTACTCAATAAACATTAAATTGAAGGAAAAAAAAAACAAAACTACCCTTTGTCAATAGGAACACATAACTTAATATTGTTCTTATAATGAAGTAAAAAACAGAAATCCTCTATAGATGCTAAGAAAATCAAGACAATCCCCTTACTTTTCCTCTCCTGTCAACACCTTCTCCAAGTCTCTTCGTGGTGTCTGACCACCAGTGCTAGGAAAAGAGCAAACAGTGAGATACCAGGATCTTAAATTCTTACAACTAGGAAAAGCATATCAAAATATCAGATTTATACCATTAATAAGTTCCTTTATATTGAATCATAGAAAGCACTTAAAAAAAATCATGATGTGTATATGTGCACGCATGTGAGGGTGTGAGTGGTAGTTAGAAGATAACTTTTCTTTCTGACTTAACTTGGGTTCTTGGGATCACTCAGGTTGCCAGATTTGCACAGCAAGTACCTTTACCCTCTGAGCCACCTTGCTGGCCTGAGAACTTGCAATTGTTTTAAAGTTTGTTCACTTTAATATTCATTCATACAACAGGTTTCATTCTGGGTGATCTACACTGCTCTCCCAGGATGTATCCAGAATACTGATAAATTGAACCAATATTTCTTTCCTCTTTAGGGTTTGGAACTGGGACTGAAAAAGTTTGTTTTCTGTTTTCTGCAGATGACTGGAACACTATAATCTCTAGTATTCCAGCACTGAGGGATCATACTGCATTTAACTGTCACAGAAAGGCCTGCCCCACATATCACTACATTAAATTACACTGTGCATTCATACCTGTTCCCTCATACCTGCTCATTCTTCGTCGCTGAGGCATTTGTTCTAGATCTCTCTGCTCCCTTTCTTCTCTTGTCATTCCTTTATAGTTTGAGGTAAGACCAAATATAGGCCGAGACCACTCATCTAAAATAAGGAAAAATAATATTTAGTCCATAAAATAGCATTTCTCCTGGGTTTTTAAATATTCATACCCTAGTACTAGGCAGTATTATAGGCATTTTAGAGTATTTCTTTTTAAAATATGGAGCACAGGAAGAATGAACACAAACCTAGAGTGCATAATCAGTACATACTTCAGTTAGAATCTAGACTTCTCTTGCCTAATCAGGTAAGCATAAGCAAAGATCTTGGAGGCTAACAACAGCAACAGTGGCTAACTTTGCTGACAGTAGTGCTCTCTACATATCCTCTCATTTAATCTCTATAATAATCCAAGGAAAACAAAGAATTACTAAAGTCTCTTTATTACAGAGGTAGAGACCAAGCTTGAAGATTAAGTCACTGGCTAAGGATTTTCAGGAAGTGGTGAAGTCAACACTATGAACTAGACATGGCTAATTCCAGGGCCTGCACTCTACCCACTCTCCATGTTCTTGGTCCACAGCTAGAAGACATATGCTTTTAATCGCTGTAGTTAATAATGGAAAGCATATTTAAATAAACTTAAATTTTAAGTGTAAGAGAAAAAATTCAGTACTTGTGCATAGGCATTAAAATTCTTCTATTTCACTTTAGAGGATTGTTTTAAACAAATATAGGTAAATATATAGTTTTTACATGTGGATATCTCTCCCTCCATAGACATTAAACAAATAAAAAGCAAATTTTACATACTGATTAATTTCCCTGCCATATCCTTGTTGGACCTTGATTCCTTGGGGTGTTTATACAGATACATCACTGCTCGTCCAATCCCACTATGCTTCAGGGTCTCCTGGCTCACACTAGGTAGCTGGGGAACAAAAACACATACATGTATAGTAATTACTCAGGAGCTAGGAGGCATGCTAATTTAGAGATCTCCAAGGCCTCATTTGTTCACATTAGAACTAATACAAAATTCCATTGTTAGGATCTATGAAGACATGGAACATCCTTTGTGCTGACATCAAAGTCAAGATTTCAGTATTAGTTAAGTAAAATATAACAATGTGAGGAAATACCAACTACACATACTTCAGAGGATAGAAGTTCAGTTCAGGCTTTGGAAACCAACAGACCTAAGCCCGAATCTATGCATAACCACCAGCTAGCTACATGACCTTAGATAATTCATTTAACTTGTTTTAGTTTCCTCATCTACAAAATGGAGGCAATATACACAATCTTACAAGTTTACTGTGAAAGACTGAAAGGCCAAACAAACAAAAGGATCTAGCAGTATTTGGCACACAGAGGTTCTTTCCAAGTTTCTTCAGAAGCAACAGCTTGCCTAGGGTGTCCCAATCATACAAAAATGGACCCCCGGTAGAGATTACAATTCAAGTTTATAATCTCTAAATGTAGAGCACTTTCTACTTCAAGTGCCTCTTAGATGGTCACTACTGGACTGCTCTTCCATGAAACCCATGGCTGCACTAAGAAATCTTTCCTTGAAATCTGTCATCAACCAATTTTATAAGGTTTTCTTTTTATGCTCATTTTATTAGGTATGGTATCTTTTCCTCAAACCCCATTTCTGGCAGGCTGTACCATTTATAAGTAAATGATACAAAATACAGGTCTTGACTACAGAAACCACATTATATTTAATGAATTACAGATTATCTATGCTAACCTCTTGCAGAATCTTCAACAATTCCTCCCGAATCTTCAGTGCAGGCAAACTCCTATCTGGTAGAGGTGAGAGCCATTCTTTGATGGCAGACATCACACCACTGTCAATAAATGTTTCTTTAAGGTCCTGCCTGCAATAGTAAGGATAATAATGATGAACACCATAATAATGCCAAGTCTACCATCCTCTGATTTTACTTACATAGTGATGTTTCAAAAAACCAACCAACCAAAAAAACAAAAACAAAACTGCTTTTAAAGAATTATTTATATTTACTCAGCCACTATTCTAGTTTCAAAAGCAGCATGAAAATTAGCTTACACTTAAAGGTAACTCACTAAGATATGCAAGTTTTACAAAATAGATTAAAATCGGTATCAATGTTACAGATAGTTAAAAGAAAAAAATGAAGCCCAACTATTATAACTAAAACAAAAGCAAAAAACAATCAACCTATAGTTCATTTCATAGTGGGGAAAACAGGACTGTGTTGTTCTCTGATAGAAAACAAGAAAAATACAGCTTTCCTGGCAGTGGGAACAATATCTCAACTGAATACCAATATTTAAATTCTGTTTTATGCAATGGAATAAATTAGAAAAATGTAGCATATCTACGTGAAATTTGCCAAGTAGCTTTGCATGGTACAATGGAGAAAACAGTTTTCTAGTTGGCTCACTGGTGTGCTAAGGCATTTCTTCAACTATCAATATTAGGTTGTAACTTTACTCAAGGAGAAAACAAAGTTGTTCATGACTGTGAGCAAACTAATGAAAGAATTTCCTAACAAAGATTTTGGAAGAGCATCATTAAAGAAAGAGCAATGACTGTGATATACAGGGTCAAATAAATCTGTACAGCATGAGCTTCAAGGAACATCTCCCAAGATTTGCTGTTTCCTACTACCTTGGGAAAAATAGATGAAAATTTACAAGGTCTTAATTGTTTGTAAAGGATAAAATAAGTAAATTTCCAGGTTTTCTTTAATATTACCAGTTTTATGTTTATTCTGTTTGCAAAAAGCACTAAGGCTTAAAAAATTTTATGAGTAGGTAGTGGTGGAGCATACCTTTAACTCCAGCCCCCAGAAGGTAGAGGCAGGTGGATTTCTGTGAGCTGGAAGCCAGCCTGAAGTCCCAGGACAGGCAGGGCTACATAGAGACCTTGTCTCAAAACAAACAAACAAACACTTATGAACAACCATAATTAAGGAAAATTTACTCGTCCCCAATTTTCTGTGGTCTGACAGAAGGCCATAATTATTCAATAGTTTTAAAACAACAGTGTATAGCTTAAATATCATCTTATGAGTCAGAATTAGTTTGCCTAGGAACTCACTTTGTAGACAAGGCTGGCCTCGAACTCACAGAGATCCACTTGCCTCTGCCTCCAGAGTACTGGGATTAAAGGAGTATACTACCACAACCCAACTTGAATATCATTTGATTAGAAGGAAAAATTTTTTTTCAGGAAAACAAAATACTTACTTTTTAAGGTGCATAACCACAGTAGGCAATAAGGTTAATTTTTTCAGTGCTGGCTTTTTTTGATTATTCAATTGTCTGTCTTCCTATTCAGAAAACAGAACACCCCCACACACAAAAAAAAAGATTTTAAAATGAAGCAGTGTTAGCTCTTAATATCCAGTTAAAACAACCACTACAATTCTAAACCTTAAAATGGTTACTCAGAGAATGTATAATTTTCCTGAAAGAAAGGATGAACTATTTCACACAAAGCCAAACTCCTTATCTGTCTAGTCAATCAAACCCACAAATCTTGCTTCACTGCTTTTTAACAACCAGTACTGATAAGTTTTTGGAATTCAATCAAGGAACAATATATAGCTGTGAAAGTCTGGCTTATCTTCAAAAATTATATTTCTATGAGTAAGGAGAATATCACCAAATATTAAAAGAAATTACTTGGGTAATTTCTACATTTTTAATTATAAAAAAATACTAAATTCTACAAATATACAATAGCACATCCAATGTACATTTCAACAAACACAGGGTTTCTCCCTTTACCCTTGAACCACTTTAAATAAATCCAAGACGGACCATAAAACCCATGAAATATCTCAGCAAGGGGCTGTTGGTGAAGCTCAATGGTAGAGCACTTGCCTTTGACTGCTAAGTGCCTGGGTTCAGTCCCCAGCATCTCCAAACATCAAAAAAAAAGCATCTTTTCAAGTGTTTCTTAAGGACTGGAATTTAGTTTTTAAACATATTTGCCAATTTTTAATAATTTGGATATATATTTTTTTCTAGTACAATGAGTCAGCTGCAATCTCTTGATCAGGGGGAAACAACAAAAGACTTTATAGCATATTTTGTATTTAAATAGATATCAACCTTGGTAGTGAACCACATAGCTATGACAACATACCCACATTCACTTAAAAAAGGATTCATTTTTACATGTCATTTTTTTTCCTAAACATGTGGCTAAATTTTGAAAATTAAGATTATTTACAGGATGAAAATTTAGCAAGTAATACTTTATTACAGAAAGCAAGAAATCTTTTGGGGCTGGAGAGATGGCTCAGAGGTTAAGAGCACTGACTGCTCTTCCAGAGGTCTTGAGTTCAATTCCCAGCAACCACATGGTGGCTCAAAACCATTTGTTATGAGATCTGCTGCCCTCTTCTGGTGTGCAGATATAATGGAAGCAGAACGTTGCATTCATAATAAATAAATAAAATTAAAAAAAAAAACACCCAAAATTATAAAAAAAACAGGAAAAAGAAAAAAAAAAAGAGATCTTTTGTAGCAGCCTAAGGTTAAACATTTAAAGAAAAAGATGCCACACCATCGATTTGGTGGAGGAAAGAGAAGGTAACCTAGAAGTGACATCTTACCTCAGCAGCTTCATTCATCTTTACAATCATGGCGCTCACAACATCATCTGCATCACTAATAAAAGTGCCCCCATCTCGATTTCGTCTGCGTTTGCCACACATGCTTTTTTTTCGTTGTAACATCATCTCAAAATCCGACAGAAAGTCCATACTAGGCAGTAACAGAAAATCAAGCTCTTTAATCACACACCTTCTTTAATTACAATTAAGACCACCAAACTGTCTAATCTTGAGTCAAAGACTCGATACTTTTGTTCCGTTTTGTTGAGATGGGTCTCTCTACATAGCCCTGGTTGTCCTGCAACTCTCTAAGTGACCAGGCTGACCTCAAACTCAAAGAGATCTGCCTGCCTCTGCCTCTGCATGCTGGGATTTAAAGGTGTGCACACCATGCCTAGGCAAGTGCTACTTTTAATTTAGCAGTCACTGTATCTGGGGTAGATATTAGAACAAACAGCTGTTTTTTCAGAAGTACTTTGACCTTGAAGAATCCTTGTGGAAAACTGTTTTGGTGAAGGGGCAATTTGCAGCCATCCCATGACTTTGGTCTTAAGGATCCTCAGGCATACCGGAGGCTTTTGTGCTATATTGTATTGCAAACAATACAGAATAAAGGAGAGGGTGTGTATGGGGGGGGAGGGGAGGACACAATATGTGATGCTCTCCTTTAGTAAGACATGTAAATTACATTAGGGACCTTAGTATGGGGAAATACTTTGTGTAACAATCAATAAATACACCTTTATACAGCTGTTTGGGGGTTCAGAGAGGCTGGACCTTCCTATTGCCACATAGGCCTTAAAATTTCATCTTAAGAGTGCCTTCTTTCTTCAACCAACCTGTGCTCCATAGTGCACCCCGACACTACTTTTTAAAAAAGATCAAATAGGCATAACTTACTACCACAAGAAGTGTGAACTTCACACTTCATATCTAATTCCTGTTCTACCCCACTGATAAATATTAACGCAAACAGACCTAAGCTTTTGATATTCCACATTCACACTTGTTATCTATTAGCTTAAGAATGAACATTTCAAGTCCTCAGTTAGGAGCATCTTCACTTGAGGTGCACTGCTTTTTTAGGAGTAGAAAATGTTTAATTATTTGAGTGCTTTTGTCTTATGAACCATGATTAGAAATAAATGAAAAACTCTACTGCTGCTTTTTAGTAATGAAGAGCACAACTCAAAACAAAGTGAGTACAGGTATGCTAAGTGCCTGACATTTTACAGCTACCATTACTCACAAGCGAGAGGGTATTACCTCACTCTGCTACAGGCTAATAAATTCCAATTTCTAAAAATAGCAACCAAATTTTACTTCTTAATTCATACACATCACTAGAAGGAAACTACATTTCTTAAAGCATAATCTTTACAACTGTGGATTACATTGACAGATTTTCATATGTTGAAGCATCCCTGCATCTCAGTGGTTATCACCCCATTCATAGCATTGCTTTTTTCTGGACATTATTCACAACTATTTTAACAAAAGTAAGTAGAGTAATTAAGAAACATTTTGGTATTGGCTTTAGATTTGTTTCCCCTGCCACACAAAATGAACTTTTCTCCCCTCAAAAATTTTCTATATTAGGTTATTTTCCAGTAGTTTATCTTATAAGAAACAAATTAAAAATGTCATATAATCTATAATTTAAGACAGCTGAGCACAGAGCAAGTAACAGCAAACAAGCACTAACAGTATATTGAGGAGGTAACGGAACACTCTTCCACATAGGTTCTTCTCATCTAGGTTCATACTGGGAACTTAGATGAGAAACAGGAATGCTCAACAGTTTCTACCTTCACCTTTATTAAAAACAACAGCAAAAACACTCACTGCTTTCCTCTCTTTATGTTATCATCAGAATCAGAATCTTCTGCTTCTTTTAGCTGGGTTTCGCTCTTCTCTTCCTCCAAATCTTCTTGATTAAAACCCTAAAGACACAGGGAGTTAGCCCAGTTACCATAACCATCTTACAGATTTCCTTCTGCAAACAACTCATGATTTCTCACATTAAATAATATATCCACAAAGGACAAAGAGTACTGAACAGGTATCAAGAGGTGTAGCAAAAGCTCCCTGCATAGCCACTAGTGTGGGGAGTCTGATTTGTCCAGAAAAGCCCATACCCATGTGAGCACTTTCATTATGCGTATATATAATCTCCTTTTATTATACGTATGTCAGCATACCATTCAGAGGGTAAGAGATACTGTCTTGCACTTTCCAAATTCTACAACCTAAAATACTTTCATTCTTTGTAAGGCTTTGTATTGTTAAGTATTTCACTGTAAGTATTAGAGAACTGCTACCACAGAAACGAAAAAATGTATAGTTAAAACTTACTGTAAATTCCTCTTCCTCTTCATCACCAGATTCTCCAAATATATCTGCAATAAGGTTTCTAGGAAACCAAATATAAAACCACTCATCAGCTTTCTTACATTTGCATATATCTCGTTTTTACAATCAAGGTATTATTTATGGATGGTAAAATAGGCATAAAGTTCAATGGGCTTTAAACAAATGTATACACTCATATAACCAGTGCCCTAATCAAAGAAGTCTATTTCCGTAGAAGTTTCCTCACAGCCTTTTTTCTCAAAGTACTCAACCCAAAGGTGAGTGTGATTTGTTTTGTTTCAAACATTCTACTGACTGAGCCACATCTTCAGCCCCTTACAGCCCTTTTAAATGAACCCTTCACCACTAAGACCCAGAGGTAATATGATCATGAACTTTGCCAGCTCTTAAATGTTATGTAAATGGGGCCATAACATACTCCTTTTTTATTTTTTGAAATTTTCGAGACAGGGTTTCTCTGTGTAGCTTTGTACACCAGGCTGGCCTCAAACTCACAGAGAACTGCCTGCCTCTGTGCTAGGATTATAGGCATGCGCCACCACTGCCCACCTGGCTAACATACTCCTTTTGATCCCCTCCAGTCAGCATATTATTTGAGACCCACTTGTGTTTTTGTGTGTGTAGTAATACTGCAGCACTGACCCTATCCCTGAGACCCACTTGTGTTATGTCTGTAGTTAACACTTCAGCACAAAGTCCTAAAGGCAAAGCCAAGCAGGTAGGTAGCTGAGGCTTTGTACCTCATAAAGTCCCTCTTTAGTACTGAAGAACTCTAGAAAACCCATGTTCTCACTTACTCTTCTTCATTGCCTGATTCACTATCACTCCCAAATAGATCCTTCTCTTCATTCTTCTTTACAGACAATTCTTCTTTTCCTACTTCTTCTTCACTATCAGATGCTGCTGTCTTCTCTCTTTTGCTTGACTTATCTGATATGACATCACTATCAGAGTCGTCAGCATCAGAGACAACTCGACTCTTCTTCGCTGCTAAAAAAATACAATCATTTGTGTTATTTCATTATGTATTACTAAGTGTAGTGGGCTGTGAAAATGTGAGCACTGGGGGAAGAAATCGAATAGCTAACACATGAATTAGAAAGAGAAAAAAGTTCCCAAATAACCGGTGTAGCTCAGTAGTAGAGCACTTGACTAGCAAGCACAAGGCCCTGAGGTTCTATTCTCAGCATCAAAAACATACAAATAGGCACACTGATAGTTACTTTACACATTTTCTGCTACTTTACCTAGGAAGTAGTGACTAAATGATAAAGACATCATCTATGTAAGTGAGCATAAGTAGTCACCATTCCTTTTGGAGGAACAGAAAATTAGTACAATCTGCTGGGCAAAAGGAAGGGGCATCTTTCCTGTGCTGTGCAGTCTTCAACCTAAACTGAGAATTCAGTAGTATCAGACTTCTGGGTAAGACGGTGGACCTGAGGCTGCTTCTGTGAAAACCAGTGAAGCACAGATTTAAATAAGAAAAAGCTGACTGTACCTCAACAAGGGAAATAAAGGAAAAGCTTGGGAAGTCCTTGAAGGTAAGAAACGACTCTGGAAGGAACAAGAACAAAAACAAAGAATATAGAGCAGCCAACCAAACACTTCCAAAAAGCCAGCTAGATGAAAGCCAGGTAGTCTTACCCTTAGGGCAATCTACCGCTCTCATGAGCCCCCAAATTTGTTGGAGGTTTACTAAGACAATGATTCTTCCCGGCAAAGAGAAACCCATGAATCATAGGGCAATAGGCAGGTATAATCTCAAGAGAGAGAGAGTCTACTGTTAAAAACTGAGCTACCCCAGGGACTGGAATCAGGAACAACCACAGGACTGGGAGTTGCTGTTTGGTTTGCCGCCACCCCTGCATAAGGGAAGGCCTATAGAGGCAGTGGTGGAAAGCAGAGCTGGATCGTAATGAACTAAAGGGTGCAGATAGCAGAAGGCTGCATCAGGCTAGGAAGTGCCTAAGACAGGGAACAGATCTTATCAATGAGAGTTATCCCAGAGTCTGATAGCTCTGAGCCAAAGGCCAGTGTGGATAGATCAAAATCTGGAACCATCTACCTGCTGTCCTTTTGTTCCCTGCTTTAGAGTCTAAGAACTCTGAAATTTCAGGGGTGTATTTAATAGCCACAGCTGCATCTGTTCAGCAGTGTAATCAGTACTTAGGAGGCCTTAAAAATAAGAAGTTGGCTTATTAGTGGTGGGGCATGCCTTTAACCCCAGAACTAGGAAGGCAGAGGCAGGTGGATTTGAGTTCTGAGTTTAAGGCCAAGCTGATAAACAGGTTACAAGACAGCCAGGGCTACACAAAGAAATCTTGTCTCAAAAAAACAAAAACAATGACAAAAAAAGTTTCAGTGCTGTGGTTGCTTTCTACAGTACCAAGGATCTTGGCAGCCTTCCCCACTCCAATCGAAAACAGCCGATCTAGGCGTAACAGTTTGGGGAGTCTGGTGAAGATCGAAAGAATATGCCCAGTCCACAGAATGTATGTAGTATGCAAAGTTCAGTGTGGCTGGCCAGTTAGAGGCTCAGATCACCAAAATGAAAAACCGAAGACCATTCTGGTAGACATCAGAGACCCAGACAAATCACAGAACACACACAGCATAAACTAGATAAATTCAACTGGCCCTCTCCTGTGCATACAAGTGGCACTCTCCAATTTTCAAGGAACCATAAAGAAAGTATGCTCATATGGCAACTTTTTTTTCATGTAATTTTTTTTCTCCTACACATTTAAGCAGGATTTTTTTTTTTTACTGTACTGAATTTTTAATCTTGGTTATTCTCCTTTATACAATCATTTATGCATTTTTATTACCATTCTTGAACAGTATTTTTTCTTTTCCTTTAGTTTCACATTTTTCTGTTTGACCCCTACGTCTCTGTCTTTCCTTACCCTACATTAGTAGTATTCTGGCTTTACCATACTGGCTTAAAAAAAAAAAAAAATTAAAATTCCTATTCTTACATTTATCTAATTTTGTTTTTTGAATGTTTTCTCTGTGGGAGTGTTTTGCTTTCTTTTAAATTTTCCCCTAATTTCTTGTTCTTCTGTCTTCCTCTCCAAAATGTCATCAGCTTTCCTCTATTATGCCTTGTTTCTCTTTTCCCCCTTTACCTCACTATCTCCACACTTGCCCTAGGTAATTTCTAGCTTCACAGCACACTCTACAGTACAGTAGCTGTGCCATTTCCAGTCCTGTGCCCACTGGTGTTCTAGGTGCAATGGCTAATGTTAAGCCTCTTTGTAGATCTTGTGAGGTTTGATGATGTCGATGCTACAGCAGTCTGTCTTCTTCTCAATTACTGATACGGGACTGAGCCTTCAAGAGTAGACTGCTCAATAAAATGACTCCCATCCCCAGACTAAGAAAGATACCCAAACCAATAGGTACATAAATCACCACACTAAAATACAAGAAATGTGAAAAAGCAAGGCCACATGACTCCTCAACTAACAAAATCAAAGGTACTGAAGCAGCTAAAATGCCAGACAAAAATGTCAAAGCTTTCCTGGTAAAAATGATCAATAACCTGAAAGGATACAACGCAAATAAATTTAATCCACCCCAGAGAGCTGAGTCAGCAACACACCTGTGGGGTGGGGGATGGTGTGAGTGTGTCTACAAGAATCTATAAGAAACCTGAATGGAAAAAGCAATACAGAAGAAAAGGCAAGAAATTGAGATTTTAGATGGGGGATGTTGGAATAAAAACCAGAGGAATCAAAGAATGCAGCCACATGTACAGTCTTTTCTACTGTAACAACTGTCATAAAGGAATGTGTTTCTTTTTCAAAAAAGACAAGTTGCATAAAAAGGTATTAAGTAAAAAGTATTACCTGTGAAAACTGAGTCTGAGGTAGCAAAGACTAACACTCTGCAGTCTCTAAACACAATCCCTCCAAACCCTCCTGTATGTGGGTACTCAACAATGTTGAACATTTAACAAAGAGAAGGACTTCTGAGGCTCAGTTTCTATCTGAGTGAAATGTGAATTAGCTGTCACAGAGAACCCTAGCCAAGGAGAAATATTTTCTTCAGTGGTGGAGCCACTGGTAAGGTACATGACTTCTATAAAGTAAACCTAATAAAATTCACTTGGTTACAAAAACAAGACAAAAACCAAAAATATCCATAAAAACAAGAAGGTATGAGGGAGCAGTGGGAACGGGTAAAGACCAGATAAGGAAGTATGATTAAAATATCTTACATACTTGTATATGAAAAAGCCACAATGAAATTAACATTACAATTAATATACGCTACACATACCAGAAAATGATGCAAAATTTCAGTTATAAGTATAGACAATAAGGAAGCTATAAGCCCAATATAATTCCTTACATGCTTTGTCTTCGTCTTCACTATCAGAAAGCACAGCAGCCTTCCGCTTTGCTACTTTCTCCTCATCCCCCTCCTTCTCTTCATCTTCATCACTATCCATTTTCTGCCTTTTTGGTTCCTCCTCCTCACTGTCAGAGCTGTGCAGTCTTTTTCTGATTGTGTGGTCCTCTGACTCATTCTGCATTTCCAAATCTTCCCTTTTATTCTCTCCATCACTATCATCCGACTCTGGCTTGTCTTTGTGTCTGGAGGCATCCTCAGCTTCCGAGTCACTAGCAGGTCCTTTCTGAGGCTCCTCACTTTCTGAGTCACTAACTCGGGGTTTGGGGAGCTCCTCGCTTTCCGAGTCACTGGCCTGTGGCCTCGGAGGCTCCTCGCTTTCCGAGTCACTAACTCTAGGTTTGGGGAGCTCCTCACTTTCTGAGTCACTGGCCTGTGGCCTCAGAGGCTCCTCGCTTTCCGAGTCACTAACTCGGGGTTTGGGGAGCTCCTCACTTTCCGAGTCACTGGCCTGTGGCCTTGGAGGCTCCTCGCTTTCTGAGTCACTAACTCGGGGTTTGGGGAGCTCCTCACTTTCCGAGTCACTGGCCTGTGGCCTTGGAGGCTCCTCGCTTTCTGAGTCGCTGATCCGAGGTTTGGGGAGTTCCTCACTTTCTGAATCACTTATACGAGGTTTGGGAGGCTCCTCATTTTCCGAGTCACTGGCCTGGGGCCTTGGGGGATCTTCACTGTCAGACTCGCTGCCCTGAGGCTGCAGAGTGTCCTCGGCTTCAGAGTCACTGGCAGCATGCTTTCTAACCTCTTCCTTTTCTGAGTCACTTGCATGCCCATTAAGAAGCTCTTCATTTTCAGAGTCGCTCCCATGCTGGTTGACATCTTCATTTTCAGAATCACTAGCAGGAGACTCTGCATGTTCCTCAGATTCAGAGTCACTGTCCTTTGTCCCGTGAAGTTCCTCACTCTCAGAGTCACTAGCATTAAGTTTGTAGGGCTCATCATTCTCAGAGTCTGTTCCATTTTGTCTCTTGTTCAAGTCATCTTCTCTGTCACTAGTTTCATTCTGAAAACATAAGAGAAAATTAGCAAGGTAAAAAAAAAAAGTGTAACCTTAAAAATTTTCAGCAATTTTTTAAAATGTAGGAATAAGAAACATCACTTTAAACAAAGGCCAGTTGGTGAAATGGATTGTCATAGTATGGCCCCCAAAGAAAAGTATAACCAAATCTGTAAAGCATACTCTTACATGTAGAGGTCTTTATTTTTAAAAACAGAGCCTCAATTCCTCATATAATTCTAATTACCCAAAGAAATATAAGCAAACATAACAACCAAGTTTTTCACAAAGGTATAATCTCAAGTTTTATAAAACTGGCATTATTTTAAGGGGAAAAGCTTTAATATAAAAATTATGCTCCCATAACTTGGGAGGCAGAGGCAGGTAGATCTCTGGGTTCAAGGCTAGCCTGGTCCTCAGATAGGAGTTCCAGGATAACCCCCGCCCCCCACACAACAACTTTAATAATTAGAATAGTCAAACAGCATATATTCATTCATGCTGTTTCATGAATCTCAACAAACAAAAAAAGTAGTTACTATTTCCAAAGTAATTATTAAAAGCCAGCATTACATTTGGCTGCTTCCTGTAACAAGTACTTCTCAGGCCAAGAAAACAGGCTCCCACTTAAACAGAGAATGTGCTGTATACCTGTGTCAGCACTCAGGAGGCTGAGGCAGGAGGGGTGAGAGCTTGAGGACAGCCTGGGCTATAAAGTAAGAGACCCTATGTCAAAAAAAAAAAAAAAAAAAAAAAAAAAAAAAAAAAAAAAAAAGGAGAGGAAAACATTAAGGATGAGATGGAATGGTAGAGGAAGGAATATGGGGAGGGATAACTAAAGTCTTTTGAAAAAGTCAGATGGAAACATACTGACTTCCTAAAATATATACACATATAAAGAATAGTTTAAGTGGAATTAATATACAACCATGTGACAATACCCTAACTAGACACTGTGGTGATATATTGTTTAGAATTTATTAAAGCCACTGAAGATCAAAATAGCAAAGCAGCCATAGTAGTGAGCTTTGGAAGCCAGGCCCTGGTGGCACACACCTTTAATCCCAGGACTCAGGAGACAAAGGAAGATGGATCTCAGAGTTCAAGGCCACCCAAGGCTACAAGAGACTGAATCAGTCTAAAACAAACAAAGCTCAAGCCTTTAATCCCAGCACTTGAGATCATACACCTTTAATCCTAGCGCTTGTGAGGTAGAGACAGGAACTGAGAGCTTTTGCATCTGAGGATTCATAGAAACAGGATTGCCATTTCAGCTTGGTAGAGGTAAGAACTACTGGCTTGGCTGCTTTGCTTCTCTGATCTTCAGCTTGAAGCTTGAAGCCCAGTATTTGTCTCTAGGTCTTTTATTATTGGTGTTACAAGATATCACATGCTACCAAATAAATAACAGTACCAAAAACAGGATTTCTTTTTGAGTTATTGGTTAGCAGAGTCCTATAGACATGCCCCCCCCATTATTATAGGTTATTGTTAATACTATTGGATACCCTCCAAAACATGATAGTGAGACCCTACTACTTGAAGATCCACATACTTGAGCCACAGAACATGGGAAAATCACTTGGTACTCAAATGGTTGCTTCATCACTACTGGCTAGCTTTCACAGTAATGGAGGTGTTATGCCTACTACCAGAGGAGAAAAGCAAGCATCCATATCTCATTCAGCTGTGAACCCTGCTACCTACAATAAAGACCTGCCTGGCAAGATATGCCCATCAGTGCAATAGTGGCACAAATGCTACAGGAGTGAGTAAGTACTTTTCTAAATTTAAGTCCTGTTCCAGACAACAGGGCAGAGGCACATATGAACTCACAACAATTGTGACACCATGAATAAGACCTACACAAGCTTGAGCCAGACAAAATCGTAGCATGGAGGAGGGGGAGTAGACATCCCACTGAGAAGCTGAGGAGCTAATGACATTTGATAACTCCTAGAAGACAGAAAGTCTGTTTTCTTTAATGGACATCTGGTTTGTCAACCGCACCCCAGAGCAAGTCCCATAACCAGGAATAGTTGGCTGACACAAACTGGACTCAATGGATTTAAGAGACAGAGAACGTAAAACTGGGTGGATAAGTAGGTGAGGGAAGAATCTGGGAGGAATTGTAGGAAGGATATTAATATGATCAAAATACAATATGGGAAATCGTCAAGTTATCAAAAAGAAAAGCAGAGAAAAATAGATGGCTAGGTAATCACAGGTAGGCATGTATGTGTAAGTAGGGAACAGAGGCTAGTTTTTAGGAGAGTAAGACCAATCTAATTAAACTAATAAAATGTAAATTGAAATACCTACCCACCTTCCTTTCTTCCAAATAACTCCTTCAAAATAAAGTCCAAGCCAACCATGGTGGAACATACTTGAAATCACAGAACTAAGGGGCAAAGGATAGCTCCATATTCAAGGCTAGTCAGGGATATACAATGAGTAACAGGCCAGTCAGGGCTACATAGCAAGACTTCAGAGAGACACAGACAATATATTAGCTACTTTTCTTTTGTTATGATTACAACACCATCATCTTCAGCAGGCAGGCACCTGAGTGCTCACATCTCTGCCAACAAACAGGAAGCAAAGAGCTCTAACTCAAAATGGCATGAGACTTTTGAAACTTCAAAATCCACCCCCAGTGACATACTTCCTCTAAGAAGGCCATAACTTTTACTACTTCCCAAATAGCTACCAACTGGCCACCAATTATGGTGGACCACCATAAGTCAAACCACAATAGACACAGAGAGAAAACAAGGTTCAAGGGACAAACTTGATGAAAAGCTAAAAATTAAAAACAAGTATTTTAAGATTTAGATTAGTCTAGAACATCAACTTTATTTTTAGAACCTCAATTTCCAATAATAATATTTTATCCTAAAAAGTATAAAAACACAGGGCCATTGAGATGTTCAGATGGGAAGGGCACTTGCTACCAAGCCTGATAATTTTGGGTCTGATCCCAGAATCCACATGGTAGGAGAAAACTGACTTCTCCAAGCTGTCTTCTAACTCACAGATACCTACCTACCCCCCCACCCCCCCAACACACATAACAACAACAAATCCTCCCAAAAGGTACTTAAGTGCCTTAAGTACCACTGATAATGTGACACACCTTAAACATCAATGTAAACAAAAAAAAATCTGAATTTAAGCATGTATCTTTAATCACATAATTCAAGAGACAGAGGTAGGTAGATCTCTTGTGAGTTTGAGGTCATCTAGGGCTATATATTGAGACCTTGGGGCGGGGAACGACCCACCCTAAAACTTAAATACCTCAGAGAAAAAAGCTAACTGTCCCAAGCAAGTAGGATAACAGTTAAGAGGCAAAACAGAAGCACTGGGAGACACATGAGCTGGGCAACCCTCCCAAAATATATCTGCTACCCTCTAACCTGGATTACCTAACACATGGTGTAAACAATGCAAAACAAGCAACTATTACAAGGATATTACATAGGATACTAATTGTGAAACATAAGAATTCCTATCATTTTAAATTTTTACTTAATTTTTTTGAAACAGGGTTTCACTATGTAGTTCTGGCTGTCCTAGAACTGGCTATGTTGACCAGACTGGCCCTGAACTTAGAGACTGATCTGTCTCTGCCTTCTAAGTACTAAGATTAAAGGTGAGCTACATCTGAGCACTTATCCATTATGTGGCATGAAGGGAAGAAAAAGAACAATAGCCTCAGTCAAGAAAGAGATAGTTCTGGCCATGTAGGCACGTATCTTTAATCTCAGAACCTGGGAGGCAGAAGCACTCAGGTCTCTGTGCGCTCAAGGCCAGCCTACTCTAAATAGTGGAGTTCCAGGCTACCCAGAATTACATGGTGAGACCCTGCCTCAAAACAAATAAAACCAAAAAATAAAAAAATAAAAAAGAGTAAGAGTTAGTAAATAGACTCAAGCAGAGCGCAAAGCTGTTACAGAATTTGAGAAGAGTGTATTAAAAACTACACAACTAAGAGGTTTGAAAGGTATTAAAATACTTTAAAATTTTAGGCTATTTTTAGCAATCAAACTGAAAAACTTTTTAAATAGAATTCAGGCACAAATGTAAGAAACCACCAGTTTCTCTCCTCTCCTCTCCCTCCCTCCCTCTCTCTCCCTCCTTCCTTCCCTCAAGACAAGAGTTTCCCTGTGTAACCCTGGCCATCCTGGAACTTGGATCTAAATACCAGGCTGACCTCAAACTCACAGATACAACTACTTTGACTCCTTGGTGCTGAGATTAAAGGTGTGCCAACGTGGCAAAGCATGGCACCACCACACTTTCTTTCTTTCTTGATTTTTCAAGACAGGGTTTCTCTGTGTAACAGTCCTGACTGTTCTGGAACTCACTTGTTAGATCAGGCTGGCTTTGATCTCACAGAGATCCGCCTGTCTCTCCCTCCAGAATGCTGGGATTAAATGTTCCTGACACTACCACCCAGCCAAAATTTCTTAAAAAACATCCCTCACCCTCAACAGGGTCTCAAGTATCCCAGGTTTGGCCTCAAATTTACAATGTAGCTGAGGCTAGATGACCTTGAACTTCTGATCCTTCCTGATTCTACCTCCTGAAAGCTGGGATTACAATCATACACAACTACAGTTTATACAGTACTAGGGATTGTACTCAGGGTTTTATAATATTCTAGGCAAGTACTCTATCAACTGAGCTTGCCCCAGCCCAAACATCATCTTTTTAACAAGCAAAAAATTCCCACTTAGAACTGCCAAAAAACTGAGCACTTTGAGAATTTTAGGAAGCTTTAGAGATGTCTGATCTCAAGTTTTCTCTGCAATCATTCATACCACAGTTACAAATAATTTTGGTTATCTATCATAACCATTTTGTTCATTTCAGCAGTCAAATAGCAATCAAACTCTTAGAGACTAGAGTCATAGCAACAGAAATAATTGTCTGTTCAGTTCTGAGCCTTAGCCTTTAACTGTTAAGCCATCTCTCAACCTTAATTGACATTCTTAAAGTGA